TTGGAAGGGACTTCCCTGGAAGGACCCAGCCTCTCCTAAGCCGAGCCAACTGGAAGTCCCCAAGCAGCAACATAGCCACAACTCCAGTTGACCAGAAGTCCGTCGCTGGGAGATCCCCAGCCATCCAGTACAGTGGGACCGTCACCTGGGAGTGAGCAGAAGGCCAAGGCACAGCCCCGGCAGCATGGCGGGCGCCAGGGACCTTTCAAGTCAGAGCTCCACCCTGCTCAACAACTACCCCCGTCCCAGCCCAGCCTGTAGCCTGTCTCTGTAGGCAGAGACAGTCAACACACAGCATCCAAAGACAAGGGGGGGCCGCATCCTTGCCTTTCTAATAAAACAGGGTCCCTCTGACCCCAGAGCTGCATTGGGCTCCCTCCTTCTCCAACTCCTCTTTTGGTAAAAGCCAGGGAACATTCCTTTCCAAACTTAAAAAAGAAATATCTGCCTGACAGTGGTGGTGCACGCCTTTAATTCCAGCACTCAGGAGTTTGAGGCCAGCCCGGTCTACAGAGCTAGTTACAGGACAGGCCCCATAGCTACAGAGAAACCCTGGCTAGGGAAAACAAACAAACCAACCCCAACACCCCCAAAATCATCAAAATACTGACCCCTACAGGTCAAGTAGTTAAATTTCAGGGAACTTTTTGTTGACTTTTATCCTCCTTCTAAATTCATAGGGTTTCACTGCTTTTGAGAAAGGGAAGCACTTGGGCTCCACCCGCACACACCCCCGACCTCCTCCCTTGGTTGAAGCAGGTCCTGATGGGGTGTGCTCACTGCCTTACTACCTTCTGGCTGGCGGAGCCCCCTTCTTCCCCGATCTGTACCAGTCCACAGTTGACCAGCACGCCTACGTAGCTGAATAACCAGGAAATACTTTATTGAAAGGAAAAACCAAAAGAACAAAAGCAGCAGAGCGTGGTTCAGGGCAGACAGCTTCTCTTGCCTGGCACCTAAGGGCAGGGTGGGGACCCGTTGCCCTTCTGTCTTTCTCTAGGGGTTGGAGCCTTTGACTGATTCCTTCTCTGAGAACACCTCTTTGGCCTGAGATAGCTCTCAACGCCACCCCTCAGGGAGCCTTACAGGCCCCCCCAGGATAAGCCCTATCTATACCTGGCGGCAAAACTTTGGTTGAACCATTTTGGGGTAACGAGGAGAAACATCTAGGGCCATGCTCCCTGGGGGCCGTCCTGCAGGTGGGGCCCCACTTCTTTCTCCACTGATGGGGGTGTACGGAGCCCTGTTCTCCAGGGTCCCCACGTGACTTCAGAAAGGGACTACCCATGCCTGGGGAAGCTGAGAGCGTCTCAGGACAGGTGCCTGGGCTTTGGGAAGGCTTTCTGCACCTGGGGAAGTTGGGGTACAGCCAAGCTTCTTGACTACATTCATGAATTTCTCAGTTGTGGGAACTTTGTGCTCAAGTGAACCCCACCAGGGTGGGACAAGGAGTCCACAGCCACCCACATGCTCCCCAGAAGAAAGGGAGGAGCCTCTGCCAGACTGGACATACAGCTGGCAGGATGGGAGGAGGGGAAACGATGGCCGAGGTGCTCAGGTCTGGCTTGCTTCAGGAGCCCTCTCTAAGTCAGGCCCATGCTGGCATGGTGGGGTGGGCCCGTAAGCAGAGGGTCCCAGGATAGGGCCAATGATAATGCGACACCCCCTCCATGTTACGTCATCAGAATATATGAAACATGAATCAAATTCCATCACCTTCTTTGGTTTTCATTTTTCTTATTTTTTTTCTTAAATTACATTTGAACACGGAACACATAGAATCATAAATACTCTTAGAAGACTCGACTCCATAAAATAAGGAAACAGAAGAAGCCAGGGAGAGGTACAGCCGTGGAGCATGCCTTTCTCTCTTTCCTAAGAGACTCTTGGACATAGGAAATCTGTGAAGGCCACCGGTCCCCCCTCGTCTTCGCAGGGACCACCGGCTTCGCTGCCCTGACATTCAATGCGTCTCCCACGGAACTGATCAGAGATAAACATGCCATTATTTGCAAAATTATAATTTAACGGTATAAAGCTTCGAGTCACATATTCCCAAAACTAGCTAAGTTTTTTTTGTTTGTTTTTGTTTTGTTTTTAGCACATAAACTATACATTAAATATTTTGAGGTATTTCAGAGAGAATTGTCAAAGGCTAGAAGGAATTGTGCTGGACTGTGGGTTCCCTCTGTAGGAAAGATCTTTGGTAGGTAAGGACCGGAAGGTGTGTGGGGAAAAGTGGGAGGATGGAGGCCCATCCGGGCCTGGAGAGGGTCCTGATGTGCGTGCGTGCATGCGTGCGTGTGTGCGTGTGTGGAGCACATCTGTGCCCGTGTTCCTGTGTGTGCGTGTGCGTGGAGCACAGCTGTGTCAGTGCTCCTGTGTGTGCGTGTGCGCGCGCGCGCATGTGTGATGGTATTTGGAAGGTTCCACTGGTGGCTCGGGTGGAGCCCCATCTAGAATCCCCCAGTGTGGGTTGGGGGCATTGCCAGGAGAGCTTAGGTGAGGGGCTAGAGTGTGGTCAAGGGTGAACACTTGCCTAGAATGTACTAGCTCCTAGGTTCCAACTCCATCACCACCAGAAACAAAAGAAAAAGAAAGGAAAGCAAAAAAGAAAAAGACAAAAGGAAAAACAAAACTCAGTCTGATCCATGCGCACGCTGTGGTCCTAGTCTGCAGGAGGCTGCGGGAGGGAGCGCTCAGCCTGGACAGTAGCCTTGGCTGCGGAGCAAGACCTTGCCTCAAACCTACAGACGTATGTACACATAATATGGGTCTTTTCTAACTCGCCATTGAGGCAGGGTCTTATCATGTGAACTCAGATCCTCCTGCCTCGCCTCCTGAACGCGGGCATTAAAGTTGTGCCACCACATCAGGCTCCATCCGTTCCCCTGCTGGGCGGGGCAGCTTTGGAGCCTGAATCAGAAGTGTGGGAGCGAGGGAAGGGGAGGACTCAGTGCTAGTGCAGGTGGGAGGGGCGCCTGAGTCCTCACAGATGGGAACTAGCGGGCGTGTTTTAAAAGATTTACTTTATTTTTTAGCTGGGCCGTGGTAGTGCACACCTTTAATCCCAGCACTCAAGAGGTAGAGGCAGGTGGATCTCTGAGTTAAAAGCCAGCCTGGTCTACAGAGTGAGTTCCAGGACAGCCAGGGCTACACAGGGAAACCCTGTCTCAAACAAACAAACAAAAAAATATATTTTATTTTTAATCATGTATGGGTGTGAGAGAGAGCAGGTGCCTGCGAGGTCCAGAAGAGGGCGCTGAGTCCTTTGGAACTAGTGTTCCGGAAGATTGTGAGTGTGTGTGTGTGTGTGTGTGTGTGTGTGTGTGTACATGGGCCTGCCAGCCTGGGTGTGTTTGGTGTGTGCATGTCTCAGTGTGTCTGTGTGTGTGGGGGGAGACCTGTCTCTTGCTGAGTGGGAACAGGGGGGCTCTTTTCACTCTGAGCATTCTGCCTCACACCAGAAGGTTCTAGAAGCATCCATCCAAGTTGCTTCCATGGGAGAGCGGTCAGTCATTAAGGATTAAGGACAGAGGACTCTCTACACACATCTTTGGTTCAATAAAAAGGCACTCACCGACCTCGCTGTCCTCTCTCTCTCTCTCTCTCTCTCTCTCTCTCTCTCTCTCTCTCTCTC